AATTCATTTTTCACAAAACTTCACTAGTAGCAGAATTCCATGAAAAGAAAGCATCTAATGAGTCCATGTCACTTGCGGGAGCTGCATCTCGACTAGAAGTGGGCTTAGTAGTAATATCATCATTACTGGCTTGACTCATAACACGTGACTCATATCGCAAATACATATCTTCACAAATTTGACGCACTTTCTGAATTTCATCTTTTGCATTATCTACTCCATAGATAATAGGAAAAAAAAAATATACTCTAGGAGCTTCATCTTAAACCTTGGATCTAATATTGTCGCCATAGCCAACACCCCGTGATTTTCTTTCCAATACTTGTCAAACTTTGTAATCATATTTTCGGACATTTCGCTTATTTCAATGAAACTAGATGTATCCCATTTCTTTAGAGCAATCTTTATTTCACATATTTTGGGGGAAAATGTTGGTTGTTGGATATTTTGTTCCTGAAAATAGTTTTGTGACATTATAAAAGATTTTTAGTCTATCACAAAGCTCACTTGCCAATGCCCACTCTTTCTCATCAGGTGCATTCTTATATTGGGGCTCACATTGTTGTAACCGATAAAACACCTTCTTGTATTTCAAAGTCGTGGAAAGCATTAAATACGTAGAATTCATCGTGTTTTACAATCAACAACAAGGTTTTTTTTTCACAAGAAACATTCTCACACTTTGCATTTTTTTTAAATGTATCATGTCTTTTTGGTGTAGCTGTCCAAAAACTATAGCTGTAACGCATTTTCTCAATCCCATGTCCAAAAACATCCAAGCAACTCCTCACAATTACATTCAAAATATGCGCAACACTTCCCATATGAAACAAGCTTCTACCCAAAATCAAGCTATCAAAAGGTATTTTGTCTACCGTCAAATCTATCATGCAATTATTTGTTGAACAATTATCAACAGTTGAAGTTGATAATTTTTTTATCTATGTCCCAGTCCAACAAACTATTCATCAACACATTAGTTAGTTTCTCAGCAGTATGGGGACATAACACACATATAAACCTACCAGTTAACAAAATAAATTCAATTTAATTAAAGAATGCATACTGATAGATTAAAGAAATCAATATAAATTAAGTATTACCTCAAAAGACGACTTTGTAATTGCCAAGAATCATCAATGAAATGGGTTGTCACTGTCATGTATCCTTTTTTTTGGTAGTTGGCAGTCCACATGTCGGTAGTTATTGCAATCCTACCTTGAATACTCTCCAAAAAATGCATCATCCTTGCCTTTTCCTCACCGTACAACTTAATGACATCAGATCTAGCTGTGTTTCTACAAATAGGCCTAAAAAGTGGTTGGAGCCCTGACAAAAATCTCTAAAGCCTTTGAGTTCAACAATTCTAAGTGGGTAATCATGTTTTGTGATCATTTTAGCAAGATCGGTTCGCAAATCGTCATAATTAAACCGATGTGTTGCTAAAAATGATCCCCCACTTTCATCCGTCTTAGATCTTTTTCTGGTTAATTGACTCTGAAAATCATCAATTTTCTTTTGCCCAATTCGTATTTTGCATGACTTATGGTAAGAATGCATCCCTTTGGTTCCATTTTTGGTTGTATAAGTAATTTCCTTTCTACAATACTTACAAACAGCCTTTTTGGTTCCATTAACTTCTTCATAGGTGAAATGACGCCACATTGGAGATGTGAATTTAATTTGTTTCTCGTTACTGTTAAATCCAGAATTGGCAGTATCATTAACCGTGTTTGAATCATTGGGTTGATTCGGTTCTGCTGAAGACATGATTACAAAAATCTGAAAATGATTCACATAAACAATTGGTGAGAAATCATGTATATGACTTATCTAGCAAAAAAATACATGTATGGAGACATTTAGTAATTTCACAGCATTTATTAATTTGACACAAACAATGGGTGAGAAATCTGAAAATCATTCACACAAATAGTTGGAGTGCTGAATATAATTTGTAAGCGGTAATAATGATCAAATACTAATTGATTTTTGTACTTAGGTAGAGTAATTGGCGGGCTGCGACAAGTAACATGTACTATCCCTCATTTGATATGCGATTTAATTCTCTGTTTCAATATTTACTAGTTATTACCGACAAGATTTATGCATTTTTATCATTTAGCTTATACTGGGCATACAAAGCACATTAACTTATATTGTTGAATTTCATCTATACTTCTATACTTAGTCTTGAAGCATAACTAAGAATAGAAGTGCCATTAATATTGTTAGGTTTATATATAGATCCAAAAACTGAAGTCACACTAATAGTTTCTACCACTGGAAAATGCTGATTATCTATATTTACTGAAGAAGGTTCAAGTGTGTGTTAGTTATCAATGAAGTTGCATCATATTTAATATCTATCAGATTGGTTTCAGGTGCAGCTGTGCAAGCATAATTTTTTCTGCCCTTAAGGTTCAGTGGATACAGGTTTTTGAACAGTTAGATACATCAAGTGAAGAACTTGAGACATTTGTGAGTCATTTATATTTCAAATATTCAATTGATCTTTACAGAGTTAAACTTGAGAAGTTGTCAAACACTTTATCTGAACATGTGTTACGTCAGAAGTTTCAACATTACCGTGGAATGCAGAAGGGGGTCGCTGGTTCGCTGCCTCGCTGGTCGCCTACTCGTATGTCGTCGGTGGGAGTTGGACATGATGAGAAGCCGCAGTCGGAGTAAACTACAGGTCCTACGGGAGTCGGGAAGGAAGGACTAAGGAGGAAGCTGAAGTCGGAAGTCGGAACCTAGTCGTCTTCAATTCATTCGTATAATCGTATTTGTATTGCCGAGAATGAGATTGAGTAAATGTAAATCGATGGAAGATAGAAAAGTTCAAGCCCTAATTTCCTATTTTAAATATATATATATATATATATATATATATATATATATATATATATATATATATATATATATATATATATAGACACACACACACACACTTTATTTAAATATAAACAGGGCCCCCGCGGGAGTACGGACGGAAATACTCACTCCCGCCCCGGTCCCGAAAATAAATGGGAGTTAATATTGCCCCCGCCCCCGCTCCTGCTCCCAAATTTTTTTAAAAATTAGTCTTGTACGGTATCGGGGTCCCGCGAGGATTTTTGACATCCCTATCACAGGTTTTCTGCTAACTGCAGTAATACTTTTAGAAAGATCAAAAAGTATTTTCTTTGTATGTATAACAACAGTTAAAACAATGTTTGCAATGAGTCTTTAAAAAGCCAAAATGTATAGTTTGTATAAGTAAAACCATACATGAAACTGTGTTTGTAATAAATCTTTGAAATCCAAAACGTTGTGTTCCATAAGTAATTCCATAATTAAAAACCGTTTTGAAAGGAACCAAGTCCATGGTTGTACGGGTAACGAATAAAGTTTTCTGCCAAGGTTGTACTTAACAACCGCATATAAGGATAAACAGACATACAGATAAAGTTATCTGTCAACGTTGATCTTAACAACGACAGATACGAATAAACAGATAAACAAGTATATTTGGTAAGTGTACACATAAAAATGTACGATACTTGTCTAACAAGTTTACAAAACTTAGTATGGTGTACACAAGCACATGTATGAGCCTAAGATAGAAGTTCTATAACTTGTATAAATGTATAAACATATATATTTATGTGATAAACAGACATGCGGATATACGGATAAAGTTATCTGCCAATGTTGAACTTAACAACCGCAGATACGGATAAACAGATAAACAACAAGTATATTTGATAGGCATACACGTAAAGTGTACGATACTTGTTTAAATAGTTAATAAAACTTTGAGTACAAGCACACAAACGAGCCTAAGATATGAGCTCTATAACTCGTATAAATACATAAACTTATATATTTTTGGGTATGTATGAGGTATAATTAGACTACCAAGTTGATAACCGGTTATACAGTCACAACATAATTTTTTTCGGAATGTATATGTTATTTTTACTAGTTATATTATCTAAACAACATAACATATGAAGCTAATGAGGTTTAAAAAGATTTTTTTTTACTTAACATGTAAGTGTTTAAACAAATATTTCTAAAACCGGTAAAGTATTTACACAAAACAATGGTTTTTTGTTTGTGTATTTTGTATTATAAATATTACTTAGTACACATACTACCATGCATAGACGAGGGCCAAACATGAAACACCGAGGGCAGGATCACAACAACCCATGCGCCCTTCAAACCATATTCCCCGTGTCGTAAGTAGTCGCGTAATAAATACTATTTTCGTGTGATTTATATTGCATAAAAACGGGGGTGTTGTTTGTTTCAACAAAGTATTTAGAAAATAGATATATACAAGATATAAAAGTACTACATATATCCCCCCCCACCCCCACCCTGGGAAAATATGTAAAAGTGGGGCCGTAACACTCACCTTAACGTGTGGTTGATGATTTGTTTCGAGTATTTGACGCGAGAAACCGAGAAGTGTCGCTTTGATAATGAACCGTCGAGATATATTTAGTTTCCTATGAAATTTTATTATAAATTAATATGTGAAGGGTTGTTTGGTAATTTAACCAATCATAAGGTTCATTTACTAATTTAAATAAATCAAATGGGACTAAAAAGGTTTATTTAATTTGTAAGTTGCAATTTTGGATTTATTTTGCAAATAAATCCCAAGAGAGGGGTTAAATATGAATAATTAATATGAAAGTTTTGTTCATGGACTTATTAAACAAAACACAAGAAGGGGGTGTCATTTAAATAAATAAAATGAGGACTTGTGTGCATTGTATTTGTTTTGAAAATGATTTTTAGCGGAGGGTATGTTTTAACATTTTAAATGATAAATGATAGGTTAGGTGTTTAGGACTAGAGGATGTTTGGTAGGATCTGAATTTTTAAGATCTTAATTTTTAAGGTGTCTGAATTTCTAAAAGGATCTGAATTTTTAAGATCTGAATTTTAATATGTTATTTGGCTGGAAGCTTTGAATTTTTGTGCTGAATAACAAAAATGACCATTTTTACCCTTCAGTATCACTTCTTTCAATTACAACAACATACCCTTGAAAAAAAATTACATCAAAGTAGGATGCTAGAAATGAACATCATGCATATAATTTTTTTCATCAAGGTACAATGTAAACTAAACAACCGAATATTTCATTACAATTTTCGGCCAATAATTTGGTCAACATCACACCCCATACAAGGTTTACATGATATAATGCATATGATTTTTTTGGTTCTTGAACATGTGAATGAAAAAATGCTGCTAATCTACAAAAACAGACACGAAGAGGGCATCTTCACCATTAACATGCAACAACCCATCACCCTCTTCATCACACCCTACCATCATACACCATTACCGGGCACCCACCTGTCATTAACCTTTATCATCATCATCGCAGCCTTCACGATACCATCAACTTCTATTCACTAGTCACTTAACAATAGATTTCAACAAAAATTCAACACATAACAACAATATTAGCAATAGATTTCAACAAATGAACAAAATCAGCAACTTGTATTAGTAACTACAAACACATTTTCAATAACATAGAACAAATCAACAAAGTTCAACAACAAATTTTAGCTATGCATACCAATTGCATATCAAATCCATCACCAAACATAGGTATCTGTGTGTTCTATTTCCAATTCACAAACCAATTGGTTGTTTTCTTTACTAAAATCTACAATATTAACCACCAAATTATCATCTCCTATCTTAAGATTTCAAACAATATTCATATATATATATATATATATATATATATATATATATATATATATATATATATATATATATCATATAACGAGCCAGTACATAACCGGACATGAAATACAAAGAAAATCAAAATCGAGGACTGATAATCAAGTTCTAGGGAAAAAAAAGAAAACAAATCGATGTATTTATAAGAATTGGTTTTCAAGGAAAAAAAAGAACAATCGATCTATTTACAGAAATCTATTTTCGCGAAGAAAAAAAATTACCTTGCAACATCAGGTCGTCGTCGCTGGCGGCGCTAGTAGAGGCTGGCGGAGGCGGCAAAATCAATGTCGGAGGTAGTAGATGATTGTATATCGGAGAGGTATTGTAGATCAGAGAGGTAGGAGAATGGGTGGAAGGGAGGAGAAAGGACAATGATGTCGAAGCTTGGCGTCGGAAGTCATGGTGGGAGTCGATTTCAGGGAGGTAGACGACGGGAGGAGGTGATCGGTGCTGGAGATGGTCGACGGTCGGAAGAGACAGAAGAGACGATCTAAAGGTGGGTGCGTAGTTTTGGAGGCGTGTATTAGCGTATAAGGGTAGAAAGGGGAGGAAGCGTGCATTTTTTTTCAAATACAATATGAAGTCTGAAAGTTTAATAGGTTTTTAAAAAATTAAGAGGCTTTTATTCCTATGCTACCAAACACTCTTAATCTGAAAAATTAAGAGCTTGCCTCTTAATTTGTCAATTAAGAGGCTACCAAACAGCCCCTAGATTTGAAAGCAATTTTTGAGAAGGAGGGACCTAAGCTGGACAAATTCAAAGTTAAGGGACCGTGTGTATTTATTTTGAAAGGAAGTTTGTACAGTAACTTATATATGAACCTTGCATTCACGGGGGGTATTAACCTCCTGTGTTCGTTCGTCTACGGGCACGCGAAAAGAGAAGAAAAAATTTATTATTATTATTCTGATCGATGAAACTCTATGCAACAAAAACTAAATGTGTAAAGGAGGTGTTGCTGAAGGCTTACAGTAGAAGGGGTTGGCCGGAGGTGGTGGCTGGTGATTTAAAGCAGCGGCAACATCGAAGGTGACAGGGTAGCATGAGGCTACCCCGGTGGTCCATCTGCCGTCTTTTTCTTGCTGATCTCGATTGGTTCCGATGACGGGGGTAGGGAGGGACCTTTAGGGATTGAAAACAACAACAATTAAGGCTTAGGGATGGTATTTTCTGGTTGTGGCAGTGAGTGGTAGGTTGGTTTAGAGAGATGTAGTGCTCTTTAGAGAACAGAGAAGAGAGTTGGAGATTGGTGTGTTGAAGGAGGAACCTAAGCCTCCTATTTATAGTAGGAGAGGGTCATACAGACACCTTTTGTGGTCAAACTTCCAACCTAGAAATGTACTAGTTTGGTGAAACTTGTAAACAAAGGAAAGGAGAAGGAGAAGTAATCCCATGTGAGCAAGGTATGAAAAATCTGTTTTTTGAAGTCTATCATCCCATGTGGGCCCCACATGGGTTATACCTCCATTGGGTGCTCAAAAACACCCTAATTCGGGCACATCGGGAACCATGTATCGAGAACTTTTTTCGAGAATACCATTAAAAAGATTTTAATTCAAGAATTCTAGAACATCAAACAAATTAATTTTTGGAGTTACGGATCTCCGGGAAATTGTGTTTTAAGTTTTGCATCTAAATGGCTCGCGGTATTTGTTTTCGCAACTATTGTAAATATTGTTGTTAAAAATATTTCGAGTGTGAAATTAAATAATAGACTATAACTTGTGTCAAAAAACGTTATTGGAAATCTCGTCGGCAAAGCGTAAGTGTCTCACTGGATCGATTTGGTTTTACGCGATTAAAGAAAAACAATGTTTTAGCGCTTGTTTTCTTAAAATTATTGTATCTTTTGCATACAAACTCTGTTTTGGACGTTCTTTATATTTTCGGAAATAGGTAAACACATACTATGAGGCTAGAATAATTGCTTCGCTTCAAATGACTTTTTACGAATTTTCACTTTTTCAGATGTATCCTTAGGTTACAGTTTGTGCGGTTTGATTTGTTTTACATTTGAAAGCGCAATATCATCTAGTATCGTATTATAGTTAGAATGAAATTACTTTTCCTTCTTAAGATACACTAAAACTTAGTAATTCGGATTAACATGAGATTCACAGATAGATTGGTAGTTATAATAATAGCCCTAAATTCCGGGTTGTCACAAGACATGAATCAGTCAGAGCTATAACCCTTTCCGCCCCCATTTTTACTGTCAATCTAAGACCGGCCAAAAAGGCTTCATATTCGGCTTCGTTGTTGGGGTGTGGAAGTCGAACCGTAAGGCATATGTGATTTCTTCACCCGTAGGGCTGGTTAGGATTAGTCCTGCGCCTGAGCCTTCTTTGTTGCAGGCTCCATCCGTGTAAAGAGTCCACTATTGGTCAGTTTTTTCCTCCGGACACCCTTTTCGGGTTGTTCCAACTATTTGTTGTTGGACTTCCCCTGGGATTTCAAGCAGGAAATCCACTAATGTTGTCCTTTTATGCTTACCCTAGGATGATAGCAGATATTGTGCTCCCCCAACTCTATGATCCATTTTGCAAGTCGTCCAGATGTTTCTGGCTTCAGGAGCACTTGCTTGATCTAGCAGCTAGTTAACACCTCTATGATGGGTTTTGAGCATTCTAACACTTCCTAAGTGTACATGCAACCCTAATAACCTTGAATCTATGTTTTCTCCATATACATGCAAATTTCTTTTTCAAGGTTAATTCCTAACTAGCATGGCATGGCGATTACATAAAACATAAAAACTAGTAGAAATACATACCTTGTTGTTGCTTGGATTCCTTCAAGACTTTGTGAGCCTAGCACCCCAAATGTTGTGCCTCAAATGCTTCACACAACACTACAACCTTGGAATAACTAGAGAGAATACTTCTACACTTCAAAATCGACTATGCCCTCACAAGAATACTCTAGTGCCCGATTTTCCTAGCCATGGGGTCCCTTTTATAGTGGTGTCACAATTAGGGTTTCATCATGAAGACTCATAATTATCATGGCTCTTCCATTCTCATGACCCATGGGTTTGTAACTCCCATGGACTATCCATGGAGCTCCAATTAGTTATATCCATAACCCATAAACCATGGCTCATTTAATCCACTATAAAAGTTTAGATGATTGTCATAATCAACCCCATATATTTAATTAGTTTCAACTTGATCACCAAATTAATACTTAAATTAATATTTGATCAAGACTAATTAAATAATCCTATTATTAATATATTGTAACTTATAATATATTAATAATCATAAGTGCCTTATTCTCTCATTTTGTCTATCCAAGTATTACAATGCCATGCAACCCAAATGGACCATGTCGGATCGGGTCAAGTATATACCAGATAAAGTTATGGACTTAGACACTATATCTAACATTCTCCCACTTGGATAAGTCTAATAACTATATTTGCAAATATGACTTCAAAATCCGACTAGAAATCGTAGCTCTTTCAAAGTCTCTCGGAACTGAGATGATGATGATACGCCATTTAAGATAAGTGATCATATAATCTTCTGTTCTCATGATATCAGTCGGACAAACACATGGAACATGGTCTTACTTATTGTCCAGCATTTGTTTCTCGATCTCTGATTTGTTTCGACATAGAACTAAATTAAACACATCAATTAGGTTCTGACTGCGCCTGATACATAGGCCAAAACCAAATCATCGACGGGCCCATATATCGCTTCTATTTCTAGAAGGAACAGATAAACTTCGACTGATATGCTTGTACCAACTACTTGTTGAATTATTCACAAACTTCACGTTTTATAACATCGAGTTACCAATGCGGTTTCGTACAATCAATGAATAACCAACTCATAGTCAACAACTCATATCTCTAGGATTGAAGATTTATATGATATTACCATTTCACGATCACTAGAGATTAATTCCATGAAGTGATGCAAGTGAGCGTGGGTTGAATCCAATACTCAGCCCTTATGAGTACTCATGAATGTTGTAGCAACCATTGCATTGTCTAAAGCACTTCAAACAAATCATACAAGCCAAATTCATGACAGTCTTAATTCATATCTACTTCCAACATATGACTAACTGTGGATGGTTTGAATAATATGATATATACCATAACATAATTATTCTGGAAATAAAAACATGCAAACTGAAACACAAGAATAATACTAATCTTATATGGCCCCAACACTTTGAGTGTAAATAAAACACCTTTTATTTATGTTTCGATTAATTAACTTTATTCTTGAATTAAAACATTAGTTGTCCCAATCTCCAAGCATGTACACTATGGTTTTCCAAACAACAATTATTCCATACTCCAAGTATGCATACTATGTTTACATATGGTCCTCTCTTTGTGAAATAGATCAATTGACAATATTCCAATGATGCTCATTTCACAATTCCAATCCTTGTTGTTAATGCAAGAATACCAAACTCTTGAAATTTACTGTAATTTGTTATATTCTAAACTTATATGCAATGATCCCCTTGTAATGACTTTGCATAGAAGTCACAAAGACTTGGAAATAGACATTACAAAGCATTCCAATTGAAAACAATTCCATGGAAATGAAGTCTCAAATTTAAAGTACATTCCTTTGAACATCCTTCTTAGCATTAAGTTCTTTAATCTTACACAGATTCAAAGAATTACTTCCACCTATGGAGACAATTCCATATTACCATTTTGACCATCACTTCTAAACAAGAGTGGCCTCTTTTCAAAATATGTCAATATGGTCCTTACTATACTTCTAATTTTCCATGAGCAACCAATCTTTGGTAAACCTTAGATTATCCTCGACAATTTGATTAATCATTTTAGTCATTTCCAGCTCTATTCCTTTTTCCCTTCTTAATGCCCTAAGCATTAGGAAAATTTAGAATGGATGAATATTATAGTACATGCAATCGATCCTATATCCGAAGCATATGGGACACGATTCATGCTATAAAAATTTTATTTGCCATGTTCTCAAAATTCGAACTATGAAGAGGGATGTTGTAATCATAATCGAATTTTGAGAACGCAACATATGTAGAATTTCCTTATGTTGAACCATTCCAACATAACATTCATATATATTCTTGACTAAAGCAGATTTAATTCTCAATCTAAGCTAACATATATAGAATTTCCTTATGTTGAACCATTCCATCATAACATTCATATATAGTCTTGACTAAAGTAGATTAAAATATCAATCTAAGCTTGTAGAATTGGAGTGAAGTATAAATCCTCTCCCTTAGTTATAGCAAAACAACTTTTCAAAGCAAATTGAAACTTTTGTTTTCTATAATTAACATTGCTAACTTGCAATACTTAACATAATCATCATGCTCCCACTAGCATAATGATTACCAGCATAACACTTTATGCTCCCACTAGCTTTGACATGTACTCAGAAATCAACTGGACTTCAAGAAATCAATACTTTATCAAAAACATACACATTTCCTTAGATAGCTCACATGTTTGTCTAGACCTTTTGCAATTCTCACTAGTTAGTGTGCCGGTTAACCACACACGCTCCACTAACTATACAAGAATGCAAATATCACAACCGCTATCTACTTAAAATCTCCTTAGTGGAAGCGTTTCCTCACCATCATTTTCATGAATCGAAGAGAAACCTTATGACACTTAGATTTTATGGTGTATGTGTTCGTATCCATGTGAATTTGTCATAACCATAATCACAGGAATAGGTTAGCGACACTTCCAAATTCATATGGACTGAACTTGTGCAATCTTAATTTCTTGCCACCTGGTAGCACAATGCCCTCCATTGCTTTCGGGTTGTTATGCAAACAATTGAGAACTCATAGAACTCACAAGCATAATCAAATTTCAACTAGAATAGACACAGAAATAAGAATATGTCAACACGATAGGTTATAAACCTCAAGTCGTGGGCTAGTGATTAACAAAACTCTTGATTAGTTCTTGAACCTATCTTAAGATCTTTTTAAGACTCCCACTGACCTCTTGACATATATGATTCTCTTTGTCAAGAACCATTCCTTGACAAAACAAATATTCAATAGTTAGTGCGGATTCTTATCAAGTTAAACACTTCCCATTATTGGACTTAGGTGGTCTTTGTTTTATCCAAAACATCACAACTAACCAAACTCAAATGTACAAGAGTAGGGCACATCTTACTCTACGTCTGATAAGTGTTATAAACTTTCTAAAGATTATGTCAGTCAATAGCTCAATCTTGGAGTATGACTCTAAGATTTGATTTTGATGTATGATTTATCTTTTGATTTAACCATTTCAACAACTCATGATTCCTCTCCTTAGCCAAACAAATGAACTAAGGTGTACTTAGAGGATCAATTGTGATATGGTTTCATAATCACTAAGATAATCATAAAACAAAATACTCAAGTACTCTCCCATCTCTTCAGATTGGAGAAGCTTTTATCTTTCTACCTTATTTGATTCTTCTTACTCATTCTGTCTATCATTGAAACTCTTCAATGATCCAGAATTATACTTAAACTTGTAAGTATAACCATATTTACTAAACTTTAGTAAATCATAATGAATAATCTTATCAACCTTTGTGGTGGACCTGACCAGCACACAACCAAGTGTACACAATCTTTTAGTCCTTCACTTGACTCACATGTACATGTGAACAAGGAATTAGTCTTAATTTCCCAAAGATGAAAACTTCTCATTCATCATACAATACAAGTTGCAAGATTCCAAGTTTCTATCCAACTGAAACTTGGGTGATGAGAATCTTTCCTTATTTGCTAAATTATGACACTACCACTAATGAAAGAATCAAATCCATTTACCCATATTTCTTATCAATGGAAACATATAAGCAACAACCCTTTTCACCAATGCCATTGTAAGGATACTTAAAATAAATAAAATCAAAACCATTTTTCTTTTATTTTAAAACTTTGCAGAAAACTTATCCTTACAATCCATATGGAAAACTTGTTGTTATCTATTTCTAAGCAATATATATATCTAACTCTTAAGTAACAACTCAATGATCACCGAACCATGCGATCGAAATCCATCTTCATGATCAGAATCAGCATATACTTCCTTTAAGTTTATTCACTCTTCTTTAATTCTTAAACATCAATATGTGACCCAGTCAGATCATGCAATAAGAATCTTAGAATAGAAACTTAATAAAGTTAGATAATGGACTTTACCTAAAGTAGAGTCAAACATTTGACTTTACTATCCTTATTGACTTTTAGGTAAATTTAGCAGCTTCGCAACCAATGCCCTTCCTTTGGCAACAGAAACATATGGACTCTTTGGAAACGGTACACAACACTATCACAGACTTAGCTTTTCTCTTTACCATTTGGTCAACCGAGTTGACTATGGCCAGTCCCTTTCAATTGGGAAGAGAAAGGTTTTCTGGACTTCCAATGTTACCATTTTCAATGTCCATGGAAGTTTGGGAAGTTGATCTTCCAATCAAATTTTTCTTTACCAATTCTCTAAATCATTGTTGATTAAGCATCATCAAGCAAATAGGTAAGATCATTAAGGGTCATGCCGTGATCTGTCATTAGGGAGTGACCAAGTCAACAGCCAGCTACCTTGAGACTTTGACACCCGATTCTCTCGGCTTGTCAATATGTGACTTAATCTCCAAGACCTAAGCACATATAGACTTTGTTTGCCAATAGGGATTGAGTGACTTAGAACTTATCATGTCTTGAAATTTGTGGGATAGGGAGATTTATTGGAGTAGGTGAAGGAAGTGAAGTATGATTTTTAGTCCCACTAATGCACAACAAAGGGATTGACCTTTCACCTTGATTGCCATTCGGGATATCATCTTCATTAGGAAGCTTCTTCCTAAAGATTTGGGAAGACCATAGCTGTCCTAACTAAACATCTATAATGGGAGAAATTCAAGTTAGTTGATTTAAAGTCCTTAATATAACACCCAATATGAAATATTAAGGCTAGAACCCAATAACCTATTTATAACTGGAAGAGGGATGCCGTAATCCAAATTATAGAATAGTTAAAGGTAGGTAAATGACGATTTACCAATTTCCACCATGAAAGATGAAATATTTTATTATTAGGTTTTATTGGTTTCAGTTTTGAAACTCCTAGATCTTTTGAGATACATTGAACTTTTCAATGACATGTTTGAATCTTGATTGTGCCGTCTCAATTTTGTGACTGGGATGCTGAGGATCACAAACAAGGTGTGAATAACCATACAAATTGACTTGGTACCCTCAATAATATTACCTAATCGATGTGCCGGTTAACCACACACGCTCCACCGATCTATAATAAAGTCAAGTTACCCTTTGCCACTCTTACTAGTCCATGTTAGTGTGTCGGTTAACCACACACGCTCCACTAACGACTTGGTAAGGTACAAAGTGTAATTTTATGGGCTAGCACCAATTTCACATTTTCCTAAAGTAACTAAGATTAGGAATTTATAATGTATAGTTACTTTATAATTCATTATACTTTTAATGAGCATTTAAAGTCGTATCCTACTCGTTCGGCTAACGACCCTCCACCGATCAAGGAAGCGGTGGGTGAGAGTGGACACCCATTAAATCACCATTTTATAGGCAACAACCTTATACCCCCTTATAGACTGGCTTCGTGAATGAGGCCTACTAACGGTAAGAATTACATATTCTTATACATATCTATATAATAATATTATAATAATAGTATAAGTGTTGATTTTTAAACTTTTAAAAATCTAAGGTTTAATTTGGAATTAAAGTATTAAAGAGTAAAACTTTTCAAATTCCAAAACTTGAGGGCAAGAATTGAAACTATTCCAAGTCTCTTCAATTTGTAATTTATGAGTTTTAATGGTTCATAAAAATGAAGACTCTTCATTTTATGAAACCTCTTTAGTTCTTTAATCACAATTTAAAGAAGCGACTTTTGGTTATCCATAACTTGAGGACAAGTTATGGACACCATCATTGCCATTAAGATCATGAATTAAACACACATGGAGGTTACACATAATTCCTATGATCTTCTAAAAACTCATAAGAACACAAATTCATGTCAAGCAATCATATAAACATATACAATACTTGAAAATTGATAAAAGTCATGTAAAATGGGTTAACATAATCATTCTCACTTTGAAAAATAGATTTTACAAGTCCAAAATAGTTTGGGATAATTATTTTAATCCATTTCCAGCAACAAAACTCGGAAAACTGCCCAACACGCTCCTACTCGTCGAGTGCATGATCCTACTCGACGAGTGCATGATCCTACTCGACGAGTAGGATGAATTTGTTCATGGTTTCGGCGAGTCCTCCCCATGAACTCGGCGAGTCCAGTCGTCAGTGAGCAGATTTTTCGATTTTCAAGCAGTTTTGCATCAAGTATACAGAATCATTCCAGCGGACGATGTCATGGAATTGAGATATGATTACTTCGACGCTTCACCTTCATCTTGGCGTAGGAATCATTCCACTCGCTCCTTTAGTTCCACCCGTATTTGGGGTTTCTTGCCCATGAGTTTCAGGGACAGCTACCCTTGTAACAATCCCCAGGTGAATGCTCCCGCGATCAACCCCTCATCGTGCTCAGGGACGTCTAGCGTTCCTTTAGTGAACCTGGCTAAATATTCCTTCATTGTCTCCCCTTCTCGTTGTCTGCACCCAATGATCGAGTGGCGATCACCCTTGTACTTCCGAAGTTGCATGAAGTTAGTTAGAAAAAGGTACTTCTACTGGCTAAAGTTGTTGATGTTGCTTAGGCGCAGTGTCTTAAACCATGTCCCTGCATTGCCGTCTAAGGTAGTGGGGAAGTATGTGCACCAGAACCGTTCGTCTAGCTTAAAGGATGTCATGGTCCATTTGTATGTATCGATGTGGCTATCTGGGTCGGTAGTGCCATCATATGTTTTAAGATGGGGTAGTTTGGCGGTGTTATGGATTTCGTATTCCAGGAGTTCTTTGACGAAAAACGATGTGAAACATCATGATAAGCAATCTTGGTTTGTGGTCCGCTGAGTGAAGGGATACCCTGGCTAATGCATTACCAAAAAGGGTTGTACTAACATGTTGTTATAGGCTGTGAGGTTTGGCGTTACTGAGCCGTAGAAGTTTGACGGCTGAAATGGAGTAGGGAAAGTGTGGGACATGGGTATTTATTGTTGGGTCATGGGTATTTGCTTTTGGGCCATAGGTATTCGCTGTTAGGCTATGGGTATTTGCTGTGGGGCTATGTGTATTTGTTGTTGGGCCATGGGTATTTTCTGGTAAAGCGCGAGTGGTGATGTCAATGCAGTGCCCACTATCAATGAAGAGTGGTTATGTGGTTGTGACGTAACGCTTGGGTTGATTATAGCGTTGTTCGTATGTAAGCTATTCACGAAAGGCGTTATGGGTGTTGTTTGGAGGGTTCTTAGAACTGGTGGTGTTAGGGAAGAATGGTGGCAAAGGGGGTACAATGTATTGGATAGGCACACCGCTATTTGGGAAAGGTGGAGGTGTTGTGTGGGGGTGGATGGCGATGTTTGAATTTGGGTTAAAACCGATTGCATGATTGCCGCAACGGAGGGTGGCGGGTCGTCTGGTGATGGTGTCGTCATGGGATATGGTGGTGGACCAGCGGATGACGGTGCTACCTCAAGAGGTGGTGGCAGGCCACCAGATGATGGTGTTGGTTCAAGAGATAGTGGCAGGCCACCAGATGATGGCGTTGCTTCAAGAGATGGTGACGGGCCACCGAAGGATGGTGCTATTTCAAGAGATGGAGGCGGGCCGCCGGAGGATGGCGCTGCTTCAAGAGATGGTGGCGGGCCGCCGGAGGATGGTATTGCTGGAGTGTTGGTTGCTTCCAAAGACGCTAGCAGGTGTATTGGGCCATGCGGTGGTTCTGATGGCTCACCCGTCGTCTTCTTCGTCATGCATGGTTAGGTTGAAAGAGAAAGAGAAAAGGGGTTTGCATATCTATTGTCACACAAAAGGATGGTGCCAAATGATGTGACCTGGATCTCAACCACCATATCTATTGTCACAAAGAAGGAAGAAACGTCAACCGCCTTCTGGGGGAGGTCCCGGAAAAATGCTTCGACGGTCAAGTTAGTGGGATATGGAAGTATGAGGGTGAATGATAGGGAGAGAATAGCTTACCTCTCATGGAAGAGTGATCGACCTTTTATACTGAGGATCTTCCTTGATCCGTATGAGGGACGAGGATTGTGACCCCAACAGGATTTGTCGTCCTTATTGGAGGACCATGCTTCACGTTTGTGTCCAGTCCAACGATTGGTCCAGGCGATAATGCTCTGATCATGCTCTTTGTCGCCTAGCTTCGTTATCATTGGACTGTAGCTGAGGACAACCCCTAGTGAGGGCAGACTTCCCATACGGTCGCCTCTTGTGGGTCTCGGGAGATCATGGCAGCCGAGTCGCCGGCCCAGGCTTCGTTAGGAACTCCTCGTCGGGGGTTCTCCTATCACTGGCCCGCTTTGAGGGGCGCGTCATCAAGTCCCCCAGTCTAGCTGTCATAGTGTATGCTGCCTAGCTACGACGTTCTGGACTTAACTACTCTCAGTGGGGTTCTCTTGTCTCTGGCCCGCTCTGAGGGGTGTGTCATTAAAAGAGTTAAAAGGCTGAATTTTAGAAGGAATAAGGTCTAACGACATAACCTTTTATTGGTCACAACGTGAGGAGAGTTAATGTGCGAATTTTGTTCTAGATTGATTCACGATATAAGGCATAAAGGCTCACGAGGTGAGAGCTGATGTAGCCAAATCCTATGATGTTAGAGAAATGTGCTAATTACAAGGTGATGTTATAACTGGTAGTTTTTTCAAAGTACAATGCTTAGGTACTGTTTGGTTCGCAGAATGATTTTAAAGGAATTAGAATTAAAATTGGAAAATGAATATGTCAGGAATTTGAATCCAGTTCCATATCCTGTTTGGTTGGCAATAAATGGAATTAGACATAATTTCAAATTCTGTTTGGTCAGGAAATAGAATTGGAGGCCATGTAAAATGACAGAATTAACCTTTTTGTCTGTTGTGCTTAATTTTACTTTATTTTCTCACTTATATGTAAAGATACATTATATAAACTATAAAAACAGTAAAATCTATGCAGTGGTGGCGATAGTAATGGTGGTGGTGGCGGTGGTAGTGGTGGCGGAGACGGTGGTAGTGGTGATGGCGGTGGAGGTGGTGGCGGCGATGGTAATTGTAGTAAGTGGTGGTAGTGATGGTGGAGGCGGTGGTTGTTGATGACGGTGGCTACTGGTGGCGGGTGATGATAGTGATGGTGGTTGGTTGTAACATCCCATTTAAAATAGAATAATTAAATAATAAACTCAGAACCCCGTGAAGTAATTTTATTATTATTTTTATCTTATTGTATCCCAAAAATCAAATAATAATGTTAAAGTGTAATTAAGGGACTTATTTTGAAAAGGTTTTGTAAGAGGAGGGGCTATTTGGTATCATTTGGACCTAACATAAAAAAATTTATGGAAGCAGGGGTTACAGAGTAAATATCGGACTTAAATTGAAAGAAAAGGGAGAAGGAGGGACCAAATGTGGTATTATGGGGCGAATTTTCATGAAGCGGGATATATAATCGTTACCACCCGGTAACATTAACCTTAAACCTAGTTTATGTGCAACTGCCACCCTCCTAACTTCCGGCCGCCACCACTTCGGTTGAGATCCCTAAACCACCGGAGCAACCACCCCATGTCAATCCTAATACCGGGAAAGCGAAGCTACATGCGTTGTTGTCGCCGGTTGCTCATGGATTGCCCTCCCATCTTCTCCGCCACCTCCTTCCATGGATGCCGACGAAGCTTGCTGCCATTGCTGTTGAGACGAAATTGCCGACAGGGACTCGAGTAGGTGCCTCTCCGCCGCGGTTGCTGCTGTTGTACTCGGTGGGTTCGAACCACCTCCTCCTCTCCTCATTTCTCTCCCTATGACTGCATCACTGCTGCCGTCTGGAAATTTCTCAACACCACTAACTCCCTTTGTCCACCGCATGCCACCGTGGCAGGGTGGTCGAGTTCGTGGTTTGTTATGAGATTGCGTGTGTGAGTGGGTTCTGTCCAATGGAAGGCGTAAAGAACCACCATGGCAGCTGGCCATAGTGGTTGTCGCTGATAACGAAGCCGTTGCCACTGACCGCCGCTATCTCTGGCCAATGGCACCGCTGCTGCTGTTTTTGATGAAGACGAGTGTCATCGGTTCATAGGTTTTTCTGTTTGGTGGTGTGTGTTGCTGCATGTTTGGAAACCAAAAGAAACCATTGATACCACCGTGAGGTGGTGGCTGCCATCGAGAAACAATCGCTGCCACTGTCGTGAGCCACTAGGTGGGTGGCTAGACCTTTTGAACAAATCATAATAGTGAGTGTGTAATTGTAGATGGTTATTGATGGCCGGAAAACAGAAAAGATACCCACTATGGCTACCAACCGTGGTGGCTGCCACCATTTACCACCGCTGACCACCACGAGGGTAGTTATGTGTGTATGTTTATCTATTAGTGTGTGTGTTATTTCTGGGTTAAATCATTGTAAATTGTAATTAGCGAATAATATAATAAAGAAAACTCATAACCACCACCGTAAGGTGGTGGCTGCCGCCTTCTGCCACCATTAGCGACCGTGTTGGGTAGCGGTGTGCCTCGTTTACGTTTTGACTCGTTTAGGATGCTTAGAAAGAATCGGTCTAATGAAACTCTAGTGGGCCCAATGAAACGCTAATGGGCCCAATGAAGCCCTAATTGACCTAAAAGCCTAACCATGTGACTAATGGGCTAGTATTGGGTTAGAAACCCTAATGAGGGTTTGGAAAACTCTAATAGCATAAAACCCTAATTTTAGGGAATTATCGGGACCCACACTTGAATTAATTACTAAACTGAAAATGTTAATTAATAATCATTTGCAGATTAACCTAAGGCAATATTGGACTTAGTGGATTAAGTCCTTAAGACTTAACCCTAATCATCATTTCATGAGAAAACCCTAATTTTACTTGGGCCTTGATTTGGGCGTTCCTATTGGGCCTTGGCGATTGGACTATTAATGGGCTATCCAAGAACAAGTAAATGGACCAAAATAATTGGATGAGTTTTAGGATAAGGCCCATGTGAAGGACTTGGGCCCAATTTGGAAAATTGGGCAATAGGTGGGCCATAATTGGGCCTTGATGATTATGTGATATTGGGCCATGGGAATACCATGAGTTTAGACTAGAATAATTGGATGGGACTTAAGGAAAAACCATGTAGAGGTTTGGGCCCAATTTGGAAAATTCAACCATATGTTGGGCTTTGGCCCATTACTTGACTATTGGGCCTTTTGGAGTGTGAGTTGGACCTTGGGCTTAGAACCCAATTATTAATTGGTTATTGTTTGATGTTGGCAGTTTGGGAATCTGTTAACCAGCAACTACAGTTTCATCCGCAAGACTTTAGTAGTGCCAGGTGAGTTACCTCACTATACTAAGGGGTCTAAGGCACCAAGGCCGGCCCATTAGATATGATATCCTAGCAGTTGGCAGTATATTGAGTATGAGTTAGTGTTGCATGCTAGTTGCTATGCCAGTTTGGTAGATCTGTAGGACTACCTATGTTATTATCTGATTATAAGTATGTGCATTAGTTATGTTATATGTCGACATATTATGTGGGTTGGGTTGAGGTTGTACTGCTCCATGTGGTAGCCAAAAAACCCCAGAGCATTCCAGATATGAGCTGAGGGTCTGGCAGGGCATGCCAGACTCATACTGAGGACTCGGGAACATTTCAGATACGAGCTGAGGGCCGGGTAGGGCATGCCAAACTCGTACTGTAGGCTCGGGAGTATTCCAGATACGAGCTGAGGGCCGGGTAGGGCATACCAGACTCATACTATGGGTTCGGAGGCAATCTAGATGTGAGTTGTGAGCCCAAAAGGCAATCCATACTCACACTGTGGGCCCATGGGTAATCCAGTCTGTAAAGTTGTGGACCCAGTACATGTTATTTGTATATGTGTTATTTGCAGTGTATTGGTATTTTGGGGGAACTCATTAAGCTTTAGACTTATAGTTTCAGTTTTGTTTTAGGTACATCAGATGATCGCGGGAAGGTAAATGCGTGATCGTACAACTCCTCATATTTATGACTTTGTTTTTTGGGATACTCTGATATTATACTATTTTAAAACAAGTTTTGTAATGATAAATGGTTTTGAAATGTTTTTAAAAGTTTAAATTTGGCATGATTTTTATGGGTGTTACACTGGTGACGAGGGAGATGGTGGCGATGGTGGTGGTGCAACGTGGCGGTGGCAATGGTACTCTGTAGCACTAGTGGTGGGTGTTGGTTTCCTGATAAGTAAAGGGGTATTTTCGTAATATGTCACTTTCGTTGATGAGAAAGAAAGATTTTCATCGAACTTCGGAAGGAATTCACTTTCCTCCATATAGTGGAATGTTGATTTCATTTAGGATTCAACTTTGGAAGGAATTCTTTTTCTCTCATGTAAGTCCAACCAAACGCATGAATTCGATGGAATTAGAATCTTTTTCTTTTGAACTCCATTCCTTTCCTGCCAACCAAATACACTCTTAGATCAGAAAAAAAAATGGAAAGTTATTTTAAAGTAAACATGTCTTGATAAGAAAATATTTAAAAATTACATAAGTTGTAGCAAAAATAAAACAGAAAAGTGCAATGTCTTAGGGTAGACTTTTTATAAAAAGATGTGTTTAAAATACAAAACACATAGTAGAATGCTATAAATGGTACATTTTTCAAAGTAAAAATGCTTTGATTACATTGTAATATACCTAGATTAGAAAAAAAAATGTTAGATTTTTTAAAGTAAAATGTCTTGAAACAAAATAACTTGAAAAATACAAAACTTCAAAGAGAAACATGCTTATAATAAGAAAAATGAAATTACAAAGCTATAACTTGTTGATTTTACAAAGTAAAATATATTGAAAAAAAAAGTAAATATTTTATAAAGTATAAAGTTCTAAATAAAAAAGGAAAAGTACAATGCTTTAACTGTTTGATTTTTCATAGAATAACATGTTTATACCAAAAAATCTGAGAATACAATGCTATAACTGCTATATATTTTAAAGTAAAATTCCTACAAAAGAATAAAATATAACAGATTTTTGAAGAAAAATATCTTGATATGAAATATTTTGAAAAAAAAAAACAAAGGTTTAATAGAAAATAATTGAAAAAGTGCAATGCTTTTTTATTGGGTTATTTTTATAGGGAAAGGTGCTTATAAAATCAAAACTAAAATACAAACTCTCTAAATGGTCGAATTTTCAGAGTAAAATATCTAGATAAAAATTAAAGTAAAGATTTTTTTAAAGTAGATTATACAGCCATACCATTTAACAGAAAACAAATAAAATGTCTTGAGCAGATGGTATAAAAACATCAATATACAAGAGTGGAGAAACATAAAAGGGAATAAAGAAATTCTTGATCACATTAAGCCTAGCACAATAATTTAATTAAAAGATGAGATGAAGTAAGCGTTATGATACATCAAGTAAGGTTTTTGTGGCTAAAGTCATAAGTGAAGGGACATGACATGTTTGTGCCCCCTAAATTCTATCGTTTGAAACAAACAATAATATAAATATAACAAATGTTCACAAAAGGCTAAGAAACTGATAAGGCACCATATAAATAGCATTGGCATCCCCTTAATTTTTTTTTAAAGTTAGACTAGACTTAGGGTTATTTAGGTAATTATGTTATAGTAGTTAATCTTGGTTAAAATTAGTTGTTATAAGTTGGTTATTTCTGGAAGGATAGTTGTGAAAGGGTTACACATGTTGGTATGTGTGTATAAATACCTTGAAACATGTAATTGTATTAAGGTAATTGATATTGTAATTAATAAAAAAAAAATTGTTTTGATCTCTCTCTCTCTCTCTCTCTCTCTCTCTCTCTCTCTCTCTCTCTCTCTCTCTCTCTCTCTCTCCATGTGTCAACGCCTTTCTCCAACAATTTTGAAAACACAACAAAAACATTAAAATTTCAGCCAGCAAAAAGAAAAATAAAAATAAAACAACTTCTAGCTTGAAATTTAAATTGCATATAAGGAAACAAAAGTTAGAATATTATTTCTAAACTTGTGTACAAAACATAAGACAGAGAACGGAAAAGAGATTGAGGATCACATCATCCATAATAATTAAATCAATTTCCTTGTCATTTAAAAGAAAATAAGTAAAAAGTAGTATTAAATAGAAAACAGATCTTCATAATAAATATTTTTACAATTTAATAAAGTAAAATATCTTGATAAGAAAATTTTAAAAATAACAAAAATGTATCCGAAAGAAAACAAAAAAGTACTTTGCTTTAATTGGGTAGGTATTTTAAAAAAGTGCTTATAATAAGAAAAATGAAAGTACAATACTTTAATTGGTAGATGTTTAAAGCAAAATGTGAAGATAACATTTTCTTTTTGTAAAATACAAAGTAAACAAAAAAGTGTAATTAGGTTGACCATTTAAAGATAAAATTCCTTATTTAAAAGAAAAAAACTGAAAATACAAAGCTATAATCGATAGATTTTTCAAAGTAAAATACTTAGAAGAAAAAAAAAAAAAAAAAAAAAAAAAAAAACTCAAAAATTTTTAAAGTAAACTCTCACATTTTTAATTGGTTGATTTTTCAAAAAAAAAGGTGCTTATAATAAGGAAATTACAAATATAACGATATTATTGGTAGATTTTTCAAAGTAAAATATCTAACAAAGAATAAAATGCAAAGGCTTCTTGAAGTAAATTGTCTTGATATGGAAAAAAAAAATTGTTAAGAGAAAGTAAACGAAAAACTGCAATGCTTTAATTGGGATGACTTTTCATAGGAAAATGTGCTTATCAAAGGAAAACTAAAAGTAAAATGCTATAAATAATAGATTTTTCAAAGGAAAATTGAAATTACAATATGCTTCAATTGGAATTTTTTTTAAAAGTAAAATGTTCTGATAAGAATTTTTTTGAGAAACACTAAGTTGTTATAAAGAAAAATGAAGTAGTGCATTGCTTTAAGTGGATTGGTTTTTCAAAGAGAAATGTGCAACCCATAAGAGAACTGCAAGTACAATGCTA